TCAGAGGATAGTCAACTTATTATTAATATCGAAAGATTTTCTTTACAGTGATCTATTTATTCTCATTCATAATATTTCTACAAAAAAAAAAAACGAAATTTTTTATTTATAGGGTGAACGTCATAAATTAATTCTTCATTATTCATTTCTCGGTATTTATATGCTTGATATTCTTCAAATATATTTTACTAAAACAATACATAATGATAAACAAATAATAAAATTTATTGAAACAATTCAAATTTTATTCATTGAATTAACTGATGAAACAAATTTTTTATATACAAAAAATCAAGAAATTCCATTTGTTAATGATTTACTTGAACATATTAAAAATTCAATTTATTTAACTTCTCCTTCATCTTTACTTCAACCTATATTACCTTCATTAAATAAAATTCCATCTATTCTTTATGGATTTCTTGATGCAAAATTTCTTTCATATTTATATAATTTTGCAACACAAGAAATATCTAAAAAGAAATCTACTGATATTGAAGGTATTCAATGTCCAATTGATAATCTATCTGACGATAAATTACCATTAATTCAAGCATTTGAAATAATGCTTCTTCTTTGTTTTCAAGCTTTATATGATCAAGAATATAGTTCAAATTCATTTTTATTAGAATATTGTTTAAATTATCAATCAAATATAAATCTATTAATACGTATTCTTGAAGAAAAAATTTATTTATATATTGAAGAACTTTCTTTACCAGATCCAATATCATATCAATATATAAATAAATTTTTAAGTCATATATGTTTAAATAAATTTCAATATTATTTAAATATTCGTCAAAATGATTTTGACTATTTAACAAATTTATTTTCTCAATCATTTCGTATTTATCGTCGTGATATACTTTTATGTCAAAGATTTATTTATTTATTTTATTTATTTATTAAAATATTTTATAAAAAAATACAAGAAAAATTATTTTCAAATGAAAATTGGTTACATTTAAAAAAAATTCTTGATGTTTTTTGGCAAATGACAATAAATAAAAATAATTTATTAAATAATCATATAAGAAAATTAATTATTAAAATAAAACAAATTCTTATAAATGATGAACAAATAACATTTGATGATATACAAATTATTTTAAATGATTCATCATATTTTATTCGTTTAGAAGCTAATAAACTTTGTTTAAATTTATTTTATGAAAATAATTCTAATCAATTAATTAATATTAATTCACAAAATCAATATGAAAATATTAATGATCAATCAAGTTTAGGAATATATTTTGGTTATATTGAAATATCAAAAGATTTTTTATTAAATAATCAATATCGTTTAAAATCATCTGATGAACAAAAAAAAATTTATCAATATTTAATAGAAAAAAATTCATCATCAATTTTACTTTTTTATTATTTATCAAATATAAGTGAATATTTATTACGTCAAATAAGTTTTCATTTAATTGAATTTGGATTAAAAAATAAAATATCAAAACATATTATTAAACATATTCTTCAAAATATTCCCATTGAATCAATTATACAATATTGGCATAAACAATCATTATATAAAATAAAAGATTTTCCATGGGAATTTTTTAATATTAATTCTATTGAACAATATAATTCATATTTATTTTCAATTTATTTTCTTTCATCATTAACTGATCGTCAACAACTTGATTCGATTTTTCATGATATTAAATCATCATTAATTGATTATTTTCCACAATTACAAGCATATTTATTACCATTATTAGCTAATAAAATAAATGATTATAAACAAGCAGAAGAGAATCGACAATTAATTGAAAAAATTATTACAAAAAATGAATATAATCGTTTAATGAAACAAAAATTAACAATAATTATTTTACATCTTTTATTAACTTATTGGAATAATGAAGAAAATGAATTTTATGATCAATGGTTACCAGAACCAATTTTACCTGCTTATACTTGGTCAATATTAAAAAAAACATTTGATTATATTAAACAAATAATGAATGGAAAAACATTTTCAGAACTTTTAATCAAATTAGTAGTAAGTAGAATATATTTGAGAAAGAAGATTTTAATTTAAATATATAAGTTATTTAATTAATATAGTTTTCATTTGAAATAATTTACTAAAACAAAATCAAAATTGATTCGATTTATTTTAATTTTCTAAAAATTTCTTTATTCATTCAGATTCCTTACATGTAGAAAAGATAAACTTGACTTTCGCAGGGTTAATATTTAAGATAGTGGCGAAGCCATCATTTTTGGCTAGGGGACTCAGCCCTGTCCACGAACCTTTGAGTCCTTTGACGAAATTTTTGAAGAAAACGATACATCTTTCAAAAATCTCGTTAGGAAGACTCAAAGGTTCCTAGGGAGACTAAGTGTTCTGATCTCTGCCACTGATTTAAGATAGTCAGTTGATCTGTATGAATAATGATATATTGACATCGACAGAATTTTAACTGTGCTATTCACACTTCACATAATTCAGAATGAAGATCTCACAAGATGGAAATATTTCATCAGAATTCTATTTCGAAATTTTCTTATTTTTAATTCATTATTCAACAGTTTATTTTGATCATTAATTTAAGAAATGAAATGTAAGAAAGAGTACATGATTATTAATATTGAAACTAGAATATTGATAAGACAAAAATGGTCGCCGTCAGCGTTTATATAAATTAAATTACTTCATGTTATTTGAAATAAACCTAAACATGTGTCTGTACGGATTAAATCTACGTTAAATTGAAAAAACAAAATTCAGATCAATTGTTCTGAACATAAGATAATAATAGAACATTATCATATTCCTGATAAAGTCTAATGAAAGTTATAAAACAAAATTTAAATAAATATGATTTGATAGCAAGATTGAAAGGCTAAATGGAAGCTTTAATATTGTTCTCTTATCTTAAGATCCACGTCTCTTGACTGAAAAAGTTAGATAAAATTTTTGATAACTTTGAATTTTCTAGGATATTGGTGAAATTCTTCTTCAATTATCATCAAATCTTTTTTCGACAAATTCTCTTCATGAACAACTTCGTCTACTTAATGTTTTCTCATTATTTCTAAATGATATATTATTAAATTCTCTTGATAATGATTATTTGCATAGTATATTACGTGATTCAACTTATATTTTATTACGTTATATTGAAAAAAATTGTCAAAAAACATATCTAAAAATTTATCAACAAGAATTGAATGATAAAATTTTAAATATTATCTGTAAACTTCTTCATCAATTATGTATTAAAGGACTTGATTTTGATTCATTAATTTATCTTCATCATATTCCAGATATTGTTTCAACATTAATTAATTATGATCAATATTTGACAAAAGAACGTATTCAAAAAATATTAATCCATATTTATCAAGTTATTAAACATAATAATGATTCAATATATATTTTTATGTCTTATGCAATAGATAAATTGTAAATAGACTTTCTAATCTCGAACTAAATATTTTCAGAATAACAAAAATCAAAAAAACATCGAAAGAAACTATGTTCCTAGATGATTTATTCGAATCATCTCATCTATTATTGTTTCTTGTCAAATAAGATTAATTTCTCAAAAATCTAACATTTATCCAAGTAGATTAAATAGTTTAATACAATTGTAATGAAAAAAAAAGCCAAGTTCTCATCTCTGTCATAACTAATATTTGCTTTTGTTCAACTTGAATATGGAATACAGCGAATCTAAATTGAAATCTAAGGTTACTGTACTCATTGTATTGAACTATTTCATTTACTTGCTAAATGAATGACTATACATATTAGATTTTAAGAAGATCATCTGATTTGAAAAGAAACAGGTACTGATGAGATAATTCAAATAAGTAACAGAGATGATAGATATGATTCGAAAAATAAATACGAACTGATCCTATCTCTGATAAATAGAGGACGTCGATCCCACAATTTTGTAGACCTGAAGTCAAACTGTATTCTTAAGACTCTCAAGAAAATTTTCTCATCTGAATCTGATCGACGCTCTAAAGATATGAAATGCTTTTTTTTCGACTATTTGTATACAGTATCTAGCACATCCTACACTAGAGCCCGCCGAGTTCAAAATTTTGGGAACCAATTAATAAAAAAAATTTAGATTCACACTCGATTACATCAGGGACTAACCCGACGGGTTTTATCCTAAACATTCCGCAGACAATTTTAATACTAATTATATTATAATAATCAAGTAATAGTCCGTTCTTACTATTCGCCTAAAGCACGTCGGGTCTTATAGTTTTTCTGATTCATATCTGACAGGTTCTACGATTAAATAATTTGTGAGCATCTTTCTTTTCGACACTTTCGACTAAATTCAACATTTTTTTTGTGCTTTTTTTAACTTATAGGGGATATTTAACAAATGAAATCAAGAAAAAACATCAAAAAATAACAACTTCTCATTATTTTTCATATCTTTCTTATCGTCATTCATCGTTACCAGTTAAATGGATATTAGAAATGTTTCATAATCATTTAGAAAACGAACGATTAACATCTTCTCAATATTCACTTGATATAAATCCATCAATAATCTTTCTTGTTAAACAACAATTAATTGATTGTATAACATTAAAACATAATCATATTTTAGCTGGAAAATGTCTATCAAAATATCCATTATTTTTAATAAATAATAATGAAGAAAATCTTGAAGATGATCAATATGAACAAATTCCATTATGGATTATTGATGATTTAATTATGTTTTATTTAATTGATAAAGAACAATCTATTGTTGAATGTACACGTTATACATTAAAAACAATTTTAAATCATTCAATTGGACAAGAACTTTATCAAAAATATCTTAAAAATGATTTAATACAAATATATTCGAAACCATTTTTATCTCAAATAAATTGTTCATTAAAAATTCAATCAAATTTAAATTCATTATCAAATCCATGGTTAATAACTTCATTTAATACATGGTTTATATCATTAGTTAATTATTTATTAAAACAAATTGAATATTATTATATAGAAAAAAAAGAAATAGGACATTCATATGCATTTATATTTATTCAATTAAAACATTTAATACAATTAAAAATAGAATTAGCAAAAAAATTATTTCCACATTTAATTTATTGTTTATTATTACTTCCAATCAATTTCAATATACGTCAATTATTAACAGAAAATTTTAATTTTCTTCTTGAACAATTAATTAATAATAATAATAATGAAAATAATTTTACTTATATTCAAATAGCAAAAATTTTTTTTCGAACAATTAATTTTTTAAGACAATGTCCAATTGAAAATTTAAATAAAAGAAATGTTGGAAAAAACATATTTCTTAATTTTGAAAATCATTTTTGGTTAGATATTGATTATTTTCAATTAGCTAAATGTGCATCTAAATATCAATGTTATCAATCAGCTATTATTTATACTGATATTTGGACAACAAAACAAAGGTATATATTCGGTTTTTTATCGAAAAATAATTCATTCTTTTCAGATTCAGATTTTTCTCATAAGCAGGACTCTGTAAGATTAGAATTCCTACTAATTGATCTTCATTTCGGAGTTATGACTGTTTTACTAAAATTTTAATCCCTGATAGAATATTTATAGAAAAATCAAATGAAGGAAGTTTGACCTGAAATTCGGCTCATGAATAGGCATTATGATCACTAAAATGTTTGATCTTACTTTTGATTTGTTATTCTGTCGAAATATTCTTTCATCAGTTTTCTATTATGACTGTTAGTAGAAATCTTTCTAGATTAGACAACAACATTCTCAAACTCTTTTCAATCATAGTAATATGAAGATTTTCTTTTCATTCAAAGACACGTATTACCAGTTTGCAATAGTGCTCGAAACTTAAGAAATGTTATTAAACTCTTCTCGTTTACAATAAAATAACTTTCATCATATTTCACTTTTTTTTTATTTCATACAAATAAGAGATTGACAGTAAATCAGAAACCGTGTCACATGAATTTCTTTGATAGGACTTCAAAAATGAATGCCACTACGTAGTAAGACTTGACAAAGTTAAAAAAAACAATAAAAAAGAAATATTGTCTACTATGATAATGTTTCCTATTCTAATTTTTATTTTGCTTGAAGGAATCGAAATCACTCATATCATTTTGATGAAGCTTTCTTAATTACATTACCTCACATATTATCTTCCGAGTTCTATTTATTTAGATCAATTTTACCAGCTAATAATTATTCAACACATTTATATTATTCTGATATTGATCTATTATCTTCCTCATCAGATATAATAGATTTATTTGTTCGTATACATTCGAATATGAATCAATCTGATGAGTTTTATGGTCTAGATAAATGTTTTCAAAATCGTCCAAATCTATATGGAGAATTTAATCAATTAAATAATAATTATTATGATTCATTATTTTATTATGATCAAGCAGCATTAACAATAGATTCATCAAAATTAATTCAATCATTACGTTTATGTGGATTTAATCATATACTTGAACAATATTTACATCAAATTTCATCATTATCTGATCAAATATTTTATCGTATTCAATTAACATCATTATTAACTGAACAAAATAAATTAACACAATGGAAAACTTATAATGAACAATCATCAAATCATATTCGAGAAAATATTTTATCAATAATACAACGACAAATACGTGTTCCATCATCATCAATACCACAATTAATTGATCATAATTTATGGTCAAATGTTTCTGATTTACGTGAATGTTCTTTGATTAATATTATTGATGATATTACAATGAATTATCAAAATCCTGAAATATTATCAAAAATTTGGATGAATCAATTTCATAATCAAATTAGAGAAGATCTGTTCGATCAAAATGATGAAATTTTATTAACACGTGTTGCTATAACACATAAATTATTATTACATAATATTAATGAAGATATAGAAAATCAAAATATTAAACAAACACTTTTAGCAGATCTTGTTACACAATTATGTCGAAATGCATTGGATTCAAAAAAACTTCAAGTAAATCAGTTTCATTTAGTTATCTTTTTCTTTTAAAACTCGAAAAAACTTTTAGTTTCTAATAAGGTAGAATAGTCATTTTAAATATAACATATCTTACTTGAAAACTTTATAAGTTCACTTTTTATTTTCACAAAATCTCTTTACTACTAGTTCAACATGTACATAGCATCAAAGACTTTCTTCAACTCTTGACGGGATAATACCAAAAGATTTAAAAGTACAATAATATTTTGTTAAGTTGAAAATACCAGAAGAACTCTTACTTTAAAAAATTGCTTTCTCTTGGAAGGTTTTCTACTGTTTATATCCTATATATCTTAATGTTGATGATATACTAGTAAATAATACTCTCTTATGATGATTTACTATATCATAAAAAGAAAATTATTGTTTTTCATCATGAGGACTTTATTTGTGATCGTTGTAATGCATCAATGGAAGTACTTTAACACTTCATCATCATAATAAGAAAATTTCATGTACTTTCTTATAATTAGGATAACAGCTTCAGAAGAATACGAAGTTTCTATATACGTTTAAACAATTATCTTGGATTATGTACAACTGCATTTGTATGCTTCCTATAGCTCAGTCTTAAGGTCTAATATTTCCGTGATTGTATATGTAGCAATAATATCATATATGAAGAAATGTAAAACAAAATGAATACCGTACCGGAAAGTGCTAAGCAAGTGTTTTTATTTTCAAAAATCATCATACTTCATATACAACACAGAGATATACAATTGTAATATTGCATTATATCACAGGCCCGAGCTCTTGAATACGGTCGTTTATGACTGTACTTATTTAACTTTTATGCTTAAAAAATTTACAAAAAAAAGTTACCTTTTTCTTTGACGAATTTCAACTACATGTTTATTCAATACTAAAATATTGAGTTTTCTTTAGTTATGTGATCGATATTTAAGTGATTTATCTCCATTAATCGATTCATCATATTCTCATGAATTATCTTTTCTTCGTGCAAAAGTTCTTGTTCTTCGTCAACAAGATACAGCAGGTGAATATCTTCGACAATTAATTGAATCTCCATTACCAGATTCAATACATATTCGTTGTCGTTTATTATTATGTGATTGGCTTAATGAAACTCGATGTGAAACATCAACAACAATAAAACAACAACTTGATACAATATCAAATTCAATTAAAAATCTCGATACATCATCATTATCACTTATATTTGAATCTTATTTAGCAATGGCACATTTTAGTGATAATGAATATCAACGTTTAAATCAATTATTTCATTCACCAATGTTTGAAAATAAACGTTTATTAATAACACGTAATCAAATTGAATATAATAAACAAGAAAAATTAGATCCATTAGGACGTTATACAAAAGTTTTAAAACGTAGTTTAGATATGGATAAAAAAGAAATTGATGAACAAAAAAAATTACAATATAGTTATTTAATTTCAACATTAAATAATTATTTAATATGTTTAAAATTATTTTCTAATTTATCAAAAACTCAACAAACAAATCAATTCATATCAAAAGATATTATAAAAAATAATTCTGTACCAGAAATAATGATTACATCAAAATGTCTTTCATATTGGTTTACAAATTCAAATAATGATGAAGTTAATAAAACATTAAAAAAAAATCTTTTAAAAATTTCAACATATTTTTTCTTACCATTTGTTTATCAAATGGCAGCAAGAATGGCATTAACAAATGATAAATTACCATTAACATTTCATTCTATTCTTTTAGAATATTTATCACGATGTATTATTGATCATCCTCATCATGTTTTACCTGTTATATTTGCTCTTGCTAATGCTCATAAAGATGCACATATTAATCAACAATCATCAACAACTACAACTAAAAAAATAAATACCATTGGAATTATTCAATTAAATAATGAAATTAATAATGATGCTCGTTCACGTGCTGCTCAATATTTATTAGATGAATGTGCAAAAGTTAAACCACAACTTGTTGATCAAATGAGAAAATTAAATGATGCTTATATTGAAGCAGCTTATTGGGATGTAACACCAACGAAAACTGATCAACAAGGAAAAGATACAAATGGAAAAAATCCAATATTTTCAAAACATCTTCGACTTATGCATATTAAAGATTTTCATGAAGTTGCTGTACCTACAATAACAATACCTGTAAAGAAAATACTATTCATTGATTAAAAGAAAATAAAAATTTCTTGTTTTTTTTTTTTTTTTACATTAATTTAGGTTGCTAATGATGGTATTTATAAAAATATTGAAACAATTAAAAATTTTAATTCAGAATATGCAATGGTTGGTGGTGTTAATGCACCAAAAAAAATCTTATGTCATAGTTCAACTGGTCGTCAATTGTCTCAATTACTTAAAGGAAAAGATGATTTAAGACAAGATGCAGTTATGCAACAATTATTTACTGTTGTTAATCGTTTATTAGATAAAGATGATCTTACATGTCATCGATCACTTAATATTCGAACATATAAAGTTGTTCCATTAACGTATGTTCTAGATTTTTGTGCGTCTACATTACAAAACAATAGCAGAATAGAAACAAGACAAAAAAAATATTTATCTGTTGAATAGAATATTAGATTTTTTTTTCCATGATTTTCGGATACTTAATGAAACACTAGAAGCTTATTGAAAGAAAATATTCAAAAGTTGAAGAACGATAAGTGTTTCAGAAAAATATTAACAATACTCAGAAATAGTCGAAACTGATCGTGATTGAATCTTCGGGTGTTTCCGTAGTGGCCCATGTATTTCTAGAAATTCTTGAAAAGTCATCCAAATACTTGTTCCTGCTCGAATCTATTCGATAAGTCTCGAGCCTGAACGATTTGACATTGTACATCAAACTTGAGATCGGACTCAATCAGTTTCTAGTTAGGATTAAAATTCTCTTGCATATAACAACAACAACAACATTTTTCGGTTGATTTATATCTTAATTCTACGAACAATTTTCTTTTCTTTTTGTATTAGGCAAAAAAGTGGAGTATTAGAATGGTGTGAAGGTACAATAACATTTGGAGATTATTTAACAAAAGTACCTGACGGTGCACATCAACGTTATCATCCAGATGATTGGACAGCTATGGATTGTCGACGACATATACATAAAAATACAAATTCTGGCAAAGATGAACGTAAACGTGCATTTATGCATGCATGTTCAAGATTACAACCAGTATTTCGTTATTTCTTTTATGAATATTATAATAAACCAAGTATATGGCATAGAAAAAAACAAGCTTACGCTAAAAGTGTAGCAACATCATCAATTGTTGGATATATTGTTGGACTTGGTGATCGTCATGTACAAAATATTTTAATTGATACACAAACAGCTGAAGTTATTCATATAGATTTAGGTGTTGCCTTTGATCAAGGAAAAATGTTAGTTTAATAGAAAATTTTATTAATACAATTTAATTTTTTTTTTGATTGTTTTTCTTCAAGGTTACCAATACCTGAATCTATTCCATTTCGATTAACACGTGATATTATTGATGGTCTTGGTATATGTGGTACAGAAGGTCTTTTTAAAAAGTAATTGAAATGAAAAGATTTTTTTTTTGTTCTTTTAATTTCATGTTTATATTTTTGGTTCTTCTAGAAGTTGTGAAATAACACTTGAATTAATGCGTCAATATGCAGATGCGTTAATAACAATTATTGAAGTTTTTCTTTATGATCCACTTTATCAATGGCAATTATCACCACAAAAAGCATTACAACTTCAGCAACAATTTGATAAAACAAATGATTCTGTTGCATCATCTTTAACTCGATTTTCAGGAAAAGGAAGTATGCTACCACCATCGTCATCTGCAACATCTTCAAACATTGGAGGAGAATCAGTTACAACAGGTTTGATTCAAAACAATTAGAAGAACTATTCATTTATTGATTTTATATTTAGATACAAATAAAATGGCTGAACGACTTCTATTAGGTCTTCGACAAAAGTTACAGGGAGTTGAACGTCTAAATCAAATGACTATAAAAGCTCATGTTAATATGTTAATACAAGAAGCAACAAGTATAGAAAATTTATCCCAATTGTTTGCTGGTTGGCAGCCCTACTTGTAATTTTTGTTAGATATATGTATGAACATTGTTGTGAGTTAATTATTATTTTTTTTTATCCACAATACAACAATATTATTCTTTCGAATGTGTAATAAAAAAAAAGTACTTTGTAAAAAAGAAAAAGACAAACATTCATATTCTATCCAAATATTTGTTTTATAATACAAATGTTAAAAACTTGATTATGATCCTTCGTTATAGAACAAGAAAACAATCTTGATTAATTTTGACCACGATGCATAATAAATTGAGATATTTGTTTAATGATTAATGTGAATCTATCAGTAACTCGAGCTATTCGATTTCATTATAATCATGACCTAAACTTACTCTATCATCATTAAATCAGAGTTTATCTTTTTCTTTTGAGATTTTATCAAATACTAATCATCATCCTACTGTTATACGTTTTTTCGCTAAAGAAGAGTGAGTCTGCAACTGCGTATACTCGAAATTTTAAGCTTAGCATTCTCGTACTCATATTTTGCCAATCAATTATAATCCATGTGTTTCAATTTTATAACAGGTAGATCTCTTCGAATATGAATCAAGGTGGAGAGTATTATCTGTTGTTCATTTCAGAGTTACATGGATGTGAGTATTTTTTGAATAACTTTTGATCGGCTGATGTTATCGAGCTCGGAGTTTCAACATTGTAAAAAGCGAACTCCAAGGCATCTATCTGTATAACATTTGTTAGGATCAAAGACGTTTTCTATGACTGTTTGTACATTGATATGTTTTTCGTTCTCTATACTCATCAACTTTCATGATAAATTAACCTCAAATGAAACCACATTGTTGTCCGAATTGCCTTGTATCATAGTAAAACTTCCTCATCTCTATAGTATCTTTTCGATCTTTTCTTCGACGAAATCATTCTATAATGTGATAATTTTGTCGCATATACAAGACAACTCAGACTACAGTTTGGTATAGTTTAAAGTTAATTTATCATAAAAATTCATGAAAGTGGAGAATGAAAAACATATTGATGTACAAATAGTCATTGAAAAGTCTTTGATCATAACGAATGTTATACAGATAGACGCCTCAGAGTTTGCTCTTTACAATGCTGAAACCCCAAGCTCCATAATATTAGCCAATTGAAAGCTACTCGAAAAATGTCCGCGTCTATTTTACTCTGAAATTGGCAATAATTATCTAATCATGAATAGCAAATTAATTAGCACTCAGTCAATTAGTACCGATCTAATTAGCATTTATCTAATTAATATTTACCTAATGAATTCTGGCATAATTATTTTTTATTTAATCAAAATTCAATCATTAAATACTTAACCATGTAGTTAAGTATTTAATGATTGAATAATAATAATAATAATAATTTGAACTATAGTTGGAACTAATATAAATTATAATTAGTGATTTCCTTTTTCTATAAATTGAATTTGTTCAATGTTCGTAAACTCTAATGACTTTAATTGAATGTTTCATTGAGATAGATATAAAGTCTTGCTTTTTCCATACATTTAATCGATTTCTCTCCACTAGCATTGATTTATCAATCACTACTATTCAAGCATAGGATAATTTTAGTAATCAAATGAAACTATTTGTATCTTAATGGTCTGTTTTTAAATTATAAATATTAATCGAATACAATCAACTAATATTCCAAAAATTATATGCGGACAATGCTATAATCGATTATTCGGTTGTAATGTACAATGTCAACAGTGAATTGATTATGATAATATTGACAGTTCATGATATTTATGTTTTCAACGACCTTATAAATTTACTTCAATTCAATGGTTATCATCAACAGCAATAACATGCAGATTTGATGGATATCTTTTTAATGATACTGATAATAATAACTGCTGTTTAGCCATTATTAAATTATCAATTGTTAGGTGAGAAAAGTCTACTAGTCAACAAATCAAAGATTATATAAAATAACATCATGTTTGTCATCAAATAAAGATAAATTTTCTCTACATATCTCTAGCAATTAATTCAGTGCTCGCCTTTTTTTTTTTAGGATACATGAAAGTACCCATCATCATCAAATGCATAAGCTACTGAAGTTAATAAGATTGTCCATATCTAAATTAAATCCTATTAGTTGTTCTACTTGTCAATACATGTTTCTTTTCTGTTTAATAATTATATGATACTAATCATCTTTTAGTTTCTGTTGCTATATTATACATAATATGCTCTTGAAGAGTATTATCTTCTAAAATTTATGAAATGTGTCACTGAAATAACTCCATTTCTTTCATTATTACATATATAAAGCACATCAACTTATTATTGAACTTCGACAAAAGATCTGTTACTGGAAGGCAAGAGTTCAGATAATTAGGCTGATTTTGTGTTTTCTTCAACAGATATATCAATATGCTTTTCGATTTAGATATCCTCAACGTGTGATCAACGTTTCAATGTGAACCTGAGAAAAATAAGTCATTTTTTCAAAGATGGTTTCCGATGAAAGGAGGGCAGGTTGTAAGGCCGTAAATCGACCCACAGGACTTTTTTCACTGGAGGCTTTACTATCTGATATGCAATGAAAGATCACGTTAAGATAAGCATATTTTGTGACGAATGATCAATATGATATGGTACTATTATTTACATAAAGAGAATGAGAGAAAAAGATTTCTTTTACTGCAACTAGTAGATCATATAGTCTACATATGGATGATGGTTTTTATCTTTGCCCAAAAATCTTTCAGAATAGAATCGTACGGGATCAATCGACTAGTATCGACTATCACGTGAAAGAATAGACAAGAGAATAATCAATTGATCATCTTTGTACAATTGAACTCCATTTTTCGGTAAACAAAGTAAGCGATTGATTCAAATTATTACCGATTAATTCGGCTTTAATCTTTTGTTGCACTTGTCAATGTTTACTTAGAAGATGAATCGATCATGCTAAAGCAGTAGATGTTGTTTCAAAACTATTGACGATTAAAGATGAAACAATCAAGAATAATATAGTGTTTTTTTGATTATCCCACGGAGGTTTTTTTTTACATGGATTTTTGTAGATCAGGTTTAGCAATAGAATTCGATCGTTCAATAGTTAGACGTTTATCGATGAAATAAATTATATCTTTTCACCCATCACATGTGTCGATTGAAGATGAATCCTTAACTTCAAGGAAACAAACGAGACAAGTAGCATTTTGATAGTTCGATTTGATGTAACAGTCAGTGAGGAATGAAGTCTCTCTTTTACATTGTTTCCTATCTTTTAAGTATATTTCTCTTTTCAACTTCAAACCTGCTTTGAGAGTTATATAGTCATCTTATGACAAAAAAATCGCATTTTGTCCGATTAAAACTCAAACAAGAAGTATTTTTTCATTTTCTTCTTTTCAATTGACAGATCCATGGTTAACAACTTCAGCCACCAATAACTGAATACTGGTGATGAGTTTTATGTACAAGCATAACTTGGAAATCTTTTTACTTCTTTGTTTCTCAAGTTTTTTTTTGTTTATCTTTGAGAACATTATAGTTTTTATTAAGAAGTATTGAGGCAGACAAGTTCAAAAGCGTAAGGAACAAACAAGTCGTTAGTATTTACAGTTATTTTTCCACTTGTGACGGAAATTTATTAAGCGAAAAATTCATTTAAATATCTCCGGAAAACCATCCAGTATCACCGGCAGTTCTAGAGAGAGAATAAGTAAAAGAAAAGAACGTGTATGTTGTTGCTAACAGCAGTATTTCATTGAAATCATCACTTACCGAAAAGGCCAATTCTGTTCAAAATCCTTTAACCATTGTGCATTTGACCACAACGTCAAATCGGTATACGGCGGAATTGTTAAATTTAATTCTTTCATTACCATTTTCATCACATCATCACATCGTGCAAATATTCTGAGTGCACATAAATCGTCATATGGAGTCTTTTGTAAATCTATATCAAAGGAAACAAAAAAGAGAAACGTATACAGAGAAAATTGTGAAAAGGTCTTAACGGAAAGTACACTTACTGACAATGACCATCCTTTTTTGTCCAGAATTTAAATTCATAGCTGGGAGTTCACATGCAGGCGCAACTCGCATCGACGTTCCCATACACAGACTTAAATCACACATTTGCGATTCCTTAATTGCCCTATCCAAACAAACATCAGGCATCGACTGAGTAAAGGCAACTGTTGTACAACGTAGACGTCCATTGCAGTTCGGTGTTGTACACGGGTTTCCCGTTAGCCAAGTTTTATGTTCATAGTTGTGGACATGTCCTTGTCTGTAATAGACTTTTCCACACTTTGCGCAAGCTTCACAGTTGGAATTTCCGTGTAGTTCAGCAATTTTGTTCGTTGATATTCCACTTTTAAGATGAAGACCGTCACAATTTTGAGAAACTAAAAATTTGAGATAATTATTTCTCATTAGCTCAACGAAGGCCATATGTGTCAATGTTGGTTCTGGATTGCGAACAGTCTGTGGCGGTGAAGCAATACCTCTTGCTCGAGCCGTCCAAACACCTGTAGGACCGCGGAAATCGTTGATGCCAGCTGATGTTGATATACCTGTTTTATTCATGTTAATATGGAAACTTCGTTTTAAAAGAATGGAGATCACTCACCTGCTCCCGTGTAGATAACGAAATGTTTTGCATTGCGAATGAATTCTGCTAAAGTTTGGATTTTCTTATCAAGTGCCTCTGTATAATGAAATGAAAAAGATGAAGTAGATAAAAAAAGAAAAATGCAAAACTGATGAATATACCTGGAGTATCGAAATATTCTTTAATTTCTTCATCATTGAGTGCTGTGTGTGCCATGATCGAAAAATTCAACTAATCTTACAGACATCAAAAAGAAAAAGTGTAAATCAATAAGATTAGTACAAAAACTATTTCTAGATATGTGACAAGACTTTTTAATTTTAAGTGTGATTTATATAGTCTTTGACTGATAAATCATACAGAGGTTTTAAATAGTTTTAATATATGTAGTGTTTGAAATGTTTTGCTACTTTAAAAAATCGAATGTTCTCAAAGTTTATGCATGATGAAATGAAGTTCATTGCATGTTCGAGGAACTATAGCATGCGACTGTGTCTCTTCCATGGAAGAAAAAACCAGCAAAAACGACAGAACGTCCAGAAAATAGGAAAAAATTACTTGATGTAAGATTATAAAAATCTTCTACTTAATGATAAAATTTTTCTCTGTTTCAGCCATTGACATTAGAGGAAACTCATAAAAGCAATGCAAGTAAGAAGAATAAAAACGGTGATTCACAAAAGTTGCGCAAATTCATGCACTTACTGACACATTATCTGTAGACGAAACGAAGTTGCACAGTTAATATATAAAAGAAAAAGACGGTGACTCATCAACGTTTCACGATTGCTTGAAATTACGAGCATCATCTGCAGAAGTAATGAAAAAAAAATAACACGTATGAGACATGCTCAGGTTTGGACTATAAATAGGAGAGCAATTTTGGAAGGGGGGGGGGGACGATGTAAAACAGAAAAAATGTCTGGAAAGGTGTTGTGTGGGGGTATGGGTTTCATTGTAAAGAAGAAAACATTTTATATGTACATCTTCACTCAACTTAGACTTCATGTAAAGGAGGCACTCTTCGCATCACATGAATCATTGGAGCAGATTACATCAACGTTGTTTACTGTAGCTACGTTCTGTTGATTCTTTTTTGATGAAAGATGATATATTTGCACAAAGTACACATGAGTGTTTGCTTTCATTTGGATAGAAAAAGTTTGAGAAAAATGGGCAGATGACACAGTTTATTGACTGTCAGCAGATGATTTTTTCCAACTTTCAAAAAAACCAGAACGCAGTTAATGTTTCGATAAAGCGAAGCTGAATCAGCGTGTGTTGAGAGTGATTGTTGGCGTGGATGTGTGTTTGTAGTGATGACCGACATTATACTCATACCTACGTGCACGCCGACACACCTACACCCTATTCAAGAATTTTTTCTCTAAAACGTGGTGATACATATTGAAATGATTATAATGAACGCAATTTTGTGAAACACACATTTGATGGTCGTCGACCATCACGTTGAATATAAATATGCATTGTATCAACTTGACGCATTTTTTCAAATTTAAATAGTAAATCATTGTAATTTATGGATTGTTTTTCTATTTCATGTTTGACATCATGTTGTTTTAGTAATTCTTGTTTTATTACATAATAATAAGTTTCTTCAAGATTTCCAATACATTTATCCTGTTGGAAAAAAAACTTGAAAGGAAAATAATATTTTACTTTAACAAAAAAATTTCATACTTGATTAGCTATTTTATCGTGAAATTCTTTTAACTTTGTATGTTTTTTTAAATTTTTCACGTAAACTCTCAGTTTCACTCAGATTTTTTTTCATTTACTAATTTTTTCTAATATCTCATACGTTTTGTTTGATTACGTAATTGTTCACCAGGATTTTCAATTTGTTTTTCAAGTTTTGTTTTTATTTCACGTTCATTCGCTATTGGATATTAGTTAAATACGTGAACACCGACGAACACATCATTTGAGAGGAAATTTATTTTTGTCTATCCTCATGTATAGAATTTGATGAGTTATTGCCACAAATATCTACGAACACCAACTTTGCAGTTGTCTTAAAGAGAGCACAGGTATCGAACATCCATCAAAATCTACAAACAAACAACAAACATCTACAAATACCTGCGAACAGTCAAATAAATCTCTAAAAATACCTACAAACACACGTACGAGTAGGTTTATTTCAGCAAAATCTTTCATGTAGAACTGTTTTTGTCAAAATATTTAAGCTAATTAAACTATATTTTCTAGATATCAGAAAATCAAAACATAGTGACTGTAATATTCTATTAGACAAATGATACTACCGATTGAACGTTTTTATTATATTTTTTGTCTTCCCAATTCAAACAATCGAATGATAAAATCTTACAAGATTGTACCTCTGAGCCTAGTATGATCTTGTAGGATTAGACGAAAATCGCACAAAAAATCGTAGTCTCAGAATTTTTACACGAAGTCGTATTATAGGATTCTTGCAAGGGTATGGGTGTGAGGTGTGGGTGACTGGCTAGGGTATAGATGTGAGTGTGGGTGTGCATGTGGGTATGGACCTTCTATTCTTCTACACCTACACTCACACTCACTCAGAGCCACACCCTGTATATTTGAAAACGAATATTTATTAGAGATATTTCAGCAAATTATCAACAAAATGAGGCATCAAATTATTTGTTTTGCTTATTAATATTTGATTCTTTCTCGATTCTTCATATAGCAATGGTTCATTCAGCGTATATTGATGGTCCTCAATTTCTTCTGATTGGATTCCACCCGTATAACATTGATCATCAGTAATATTTGGATTAGGCTTTTTAACAATATGAAAACAACTTCTGGATGCTCCGGGCGCCTGACATTTAACGAAAAGAAATGAATTATTATTTGGATCGCCAAGACCAATACGAGTATAACCTAAATTAGCTGGTGTATAACTGATACCACCATATTTGATAATATGAACATGACTAAATCAAGTGAACATATTAAGAAGAATATGCAAAGAGACAAATATATAATATACGTACTTAACATAGATATGTTGTGCAAGACTATCTGTCTTACAAAGAGTACAACCACAAAAACGAACACCATCAAATGAACCAGTCTAGGAATAACAAGAAAAAAATCAGTTCAAATCAGAAAAATAACTATTGTAGGCGTCAAAATATAATACACCTCGATATATTTTCAAAATATTTTGAGAATGAAAGTAGTTAGAAATCTGCTATTTTCGCCATTAGAAAGAGACATGTAGGTAAATTAAAACTGTTGAATTATATGGACTATGTATTGGCCAAGGTGGTAAGTTTTTGGTGTAAATTTTGACCAAAAGTTTTCGAAAAAATTTTCTCAACTAACTATGAGTTTCATTTTAAAGAATTAATAGTGATGACATTTCTCTACCGACTGATGCAAGGTCGACTGTTCTAGCTTATTCTATTCAGAAGTTATAAGCATTTTATTAGAAGTCTTCAAGTCGGCCAACTGATTACTGGTCCCTCTAAACAGCATTGAGTTTGATGTATTCGTCTATGCTGAGTTCAATGGTGGTAGTTGTTTTTAGTTTTGAAACGACCTGAAATAAGAAAAACAACATCTTTCAAATGTCCCATCTAACGTTAGAAGCTTTGTATAGACTGAGTTACAGAACTAATGATCTAGCTACTTACGATCGTACTGAAACTGAAAACAATTACCACTATTGAATTCAGCGTAGACGAAAACACCAAACTCAATACAGTTTAGAGTGACCAGTGATCCAGTTGGTCGATTTCAAGGCTTCCAATGGAATACCTATAACTCCTGAATAGAATAAGTTAGAAAGCTCGACCCTGCATAGATCGCCAGAGAAATATCATCGCTATCGATTTCCTACAGTGGAACTCATAGTTAATTGAGAAAGTTTTGTTAAATACTTCTAATCAAAATCCAAAACAGAAACCTGATCACCTTGATCATTGCATAGATCAGATAATTCAGCAAAGTTTCACGTTTGCCACATTTCTCTTTCGAATGGTGAAAACTACAGATCTCTAACTACTTTCATTTTCGAGATGTTCAAAGCATACCAAGGTACATCATGTTTTGACGCCAAGAATAGAATACTTGATCACCTACAGCACATGGTATCATCACTATATAGTATTTTACATCCATATAACGAAAACCTAATCGGAATGTATCTTTGTCTCCATCTGTAACATGCTACAATAAATCAAATATAAATCTATTCTAATTAATATCATTAACAAACGATTACTTTATAGAATAGTTCATAATTATCATTCATCAATTTTGCCATATAAAGCCCAATCCATACGCGTTTTTTGTCAACTAATATTGTTGCACTATCAAGCTCATATTCATGTTCACCACAAGTTGTGTTAAACAAATTCCATACAGCTGGATGTTGTCGACTTTGAAAAGAATCAGGAAAGAAAAGAGCACCAAATTTGAGATACATTGGATCGGAAAGGAAAAGATCTATTGGATCTCGTGTGATATATGCATCAGAATCGAGAAATAGTACTTCAGCAAAAGTAGCACTAACAATCGCTGCCGGTTTATAAGGAAAAGATTTCAACAGTGTACCTATATGAGGTTTGTAGACATGAGTAGGATTAAGTTGCCAGGTTTGTGTACGAGTTCTACATTGAGCTGTGTCAAAACAACATATACTTGAGTTGAGTTTAGATGAATTATTAAGCAATTCCATCATCATTTGTTCTAAGATTTGACTGGATGAATACCATATCTAAAAGATAAAAGATTAAATCTACTTTGAAAATTGCTTCATGAAACAACTTTATATTATTGTTTTTATGCGTGACAAAATAAGGGATATTTTATCTACAGTTAACATTGAAAGTCCTTTCCTCTGGTCTTCCGCAGTGATTGAGTATAATAATCGAAAACTCGTGAACCCATTATTCATATATAAAACATATAAGTGCACCAGCATTTGGAGTCAAAATGTGAAATCCAAAAAGTGTAATCATTATCAAATCACATTATCGAAAACACAAAGATACAAATAGTATATGGTGTAGTCTTTGTAGACTAAGAGTTTAATGCATCAAGGTGATTTATATCAGTTTCTATGTAAAACATTGTATAAAGTAGTGTTAAGACATGCTGGATACAAGTTTTTCATAATTTGTTCTATTTATTATGTAATATCTAGATAGACAGGCATATCAGATTTCGCACTAATTTTGTACAAAATAGGAAAAACTACTCAACTTTTTTTTTGCCTACGTCAGTCTTCATCATAATTTTCGCAAAAACATGAGTTTTTACCTACTTTTTAAGCAAAATTTTAAGTTTTTGAGGTATTTTTGTGAAAAATAGTCTTTAGGGAGTGTTTAAGTATAGAGATAGGAATTTGAACCCACTCCTACGCTCCCCACAGACATGATAGACAGACTTAGCAAAGCTACTCCTTCATAACAGACCTTGTTGATATACGATCGCAGACCCGATATCAATAACGTCTCTTTATAATATATGAACTACTTTCCTATTGTATTTCTGAAAGATTAAGTAAAACGATGATGAAGAAATATGTCCCCAAATAATCTCCGTGTGATTAGCAACAGAGACTACATTGTGTTTCACATTTTAATCCCGCAGGGATTGCGCAAACAACTTTTCTTTGTTTCATACATATTGTGATCAGGTGGAAACTAATATAAACAGAAAAGCAGAGTAACTTGTTCTCTTCTTGTACAAAATTAGTACAAAAATCGTCATGCTTGTCTGCTTGAGTATCATCAAAGACAGTTCAGCAGTTGTTTCAATAAATTAAATACATTAATCGTATACTGTTTTTTTCTTCCTCTTCTATTAACTCTGAAAATTTAAACCACCATTGATATTTAGAAGAATCTTTCATTTTTGTTTCGGTTATTAGTGTTGAACACTTATGTTGAAATCATTGATCTTTGGTTTTGGTCACTAGTGAAATGTGCTTAAGGAACTTTGATCATGACTCCTAGGATTTTTGATTATTAGACAAAGCTACTGGATAATTGTTGATCTTGGACACCAGTTGCTATAAAATAAGAAACAGAAGCCGGAAAATGTCGACTTAAAACTTCTACTCAAAGTTTTCTTTCAAAAAATCAATATCAGTTCTACTAAATATAGAGTTGAGTTAGAAATATTATCATTGTTTTTTATCAGATCAT